CTGTAGCGACATGTGTAATGGTAAAGTGAACGGCATTTATTCTAATCTCTCTTTTACTTTGTGAGATGCTTCTTGCATAGCTAGACACCGGACAGAAAACTTAGAGCCGAAAGACACTAAAAACAGAGGAATAAAACCATTTTCTAATGTTGAGCGCGAAGGCAACTCGAAAGAAGCGTGTTTGCAGTTTGTTGCAAAGGTAACTACGCACGAGCGAGTGCAGCAATCGCGAAGAAACAGGCCTAGGCGAATACGAAGAACATGAATATAAATAAACTGTTATTACATTATTCAGTACAGAATTCTTCATGGTGAAGCATACTAAGCAAAATTACTGAATATGCATTAAAGCTTAAAATTAATATCTACAAGTTATAGAGGCACAAATAGATGGTAGTCGTTATTATTTTAATCATTGTTTAAATAAATACTAACATTATGTAATTTTGCGCATTTGCAGACGTATAGTAACATGACGCGAATTAGAGAAGAAGAGAATAAGAAACAGAATTCCTTTGCGTTTCGCTTCTTTTCATCTCCAACGTTCCGCGCGTGAATAGTTTTACCTGTCGTTTCATCTATTGAGCACGTTTGCGAGCCTCGAACCAATTTACAAGTTGCATAAAGCACGATATGCACTCATTCCATTTCGATTTCATGCAAAACCATTAACTTTAGCGCTCGAACTTTACAAAGAACTAAGCCGCGCATTTGTCTTCATTTTATCGTCATCATCAACATCGAAGGATGCATAGGTGCGTCCTCTAGTTGAGTTACAAAGTAATTCTAAAGTGAAACTTTAAATGTCAACGCAAATGCGATGCTGATATTAAACGGTACTCACCAAACAATCATTACTATCCATGATTAGAAACTATACACTATTAAAACTTATTATTTCAAAGTAAATAACAAACTGTGTATCGACGTTAATTAATTAAAACGAAGGTTTTAATAGTCCAGTCACGCAAATAATGCTAACACTATTATCCACACGTACGAGAACTTTATATTTGCTCAGATTCGATATGAATGGTACCTCTTCGCGAAAGTGTCCGTAACAAAGTGAGTACACAAAAGCAAATGACTGCAGTGTTGAAATCCCGACATTAATTAATTCCGCAGTGTTTATCCGACTCTCCCGTCAGTCAACACACACCGACCACGAACAACGATTCGAACAAATTGAAGCATGATTCGGACACGCAACGTGAAAGAATGACTCATCCCACTGGACACAGAAACTCATCCAGATTCTACACATAGATTACTCGAATAATTTCACTGGCACTTTGTTCCAAGTAGGTCTGTACTTTGATTTTTAAACAAATTAAAATAATTTACACGCGTGAATCATAACACAAGTTACTCGAGTGAATCGGAGATTCCTACTACTGCCCTCACCACAATCACTCATTTTTAGACGCGGCATCAGTCCCGAACTGATGATAAATTTATTATGTAGGAGATAGCGATGCAGCAATGCCCTATTGTCGCGTGTAGCATCTAATTACGGTGTATTCTGATATTTGTCATGCGCTATTCAAAGGGCAGTATATTTTATTGAGATTTTACGACTTTGTGACTCACTATGCAAACTCGTTTTCTTTCAACTGCAACTGCTTGAAAATGAAAATGATATCGGTCCGATGCCGTACACTAAGTAGAGTATGAACGGTTTTGAATTTAATATAATGGTTATCTTTGTCACCTTTGTCACCGAGTGTTACAGCATGAATAGAATTCTTTATCACTAATTTCGCTTCTTGTTCAAATCGTATCTGTCCGTTGGTTCGACAAAGTATTGTAACGAGCATTCAATTTTGAATTTTACATTCACTGCCGGAACAAAATGCATTTTTGAGTGTCTGTTTACTGATGTATCTACATTTATTTGATGTGCGCTAGATACTTGTATTTGAATACCATTAAAATTCGATCTTTTCTAACGTGAACAGATACCGTTTCTCCTTCGTTATCGAAATGTTTCTCGTCAATCTTTATCACGAATGCAAGCATATTGACATTTATTTCCAACATTGGTCGCGAACGTTATTCTTCTCACATATTGAATTTAATAAATTCGAATTTATTATTTAGACAATCGTTTATTGGTGATTTTAATGCAATTGAAGGTAATATTTACAAATTCTACAGATTTGATTTTAAGACCTCGCGTGATTTTAAAAGGGGACACTCGAATTTGCTGATACGGACAAAACAGCACACAGATCAAAACAAACAAGTTTTTGTGAGGTGTGAGAAACCTCGTGGAATTTAATGCAAATTTATGCAATCTAGCGTCATCTTACCCCAATTTATAGAGTTACTTTCGTCGTCTCACACGGACATGGGTGCGCTCACTGACACAAACAAACAACCACAATTGTCGCAATTTGAAGATAGACTGTAACAGACATTATCTTGTCGTACAAATTTGGAAAACGATTATAAAAATCCATCTGTCAGCTGTAGTTTACTTAGTAGTTTATATTTGCTGCTTATTTGGACAATATACTAGATGATAAGAAATAGAAGGAAAACACCAAAGAATAAACTCAAATAAACGATAAAAATAGATTGATTTATGAAGAAGTCAAAAGTTATTTGTCAAGATCCGTTCGAGACAAGTTAAAATTATTGTGATTGATGATTTTTTTGTTTGACCCTGACTGAACTATAATTTCGAAGATGATTCATTAAATCAGTGAAATGTCATCATAAACATATAAAAACATTGAAGATTTAACGACTTTACAACACATTAGGTGCAAGTACGTTATCACCATCAAACATGGAAAACTTTCTCCTTCTGTTGTGTAATTTCTTGTCTTTATACCTATGTTTAATGTGCGTGATGCACTTTAATGCATTCTACACACAAGAATCATTTAAACATTTGAAATCACATGAACAGCTTTGTGAAACAAATGCGTTTCTAAATTTTATTGTTATTTAAATATTTGCATGTTAATTTGAGCTCCAAGAAAAATCAGGAATTCCTTATGCATTTTTAATGCAACATCAATGTCTGACAAATAAAAATAAGAAAGTTTTCAATTGTCGGCTTGGTGAAGCATTTGATTCAATCTCCTTTCGCTTCTTTGACTTCTTTTCTTTTATGAAGGCTTTTATGGTCGCTAATACTCGCTTATTACGCCATTCATTCAACTCATTGTTACTACCTACAACGTACGTGCACCTAAGAGCAATCGCGCTTAAGTTTCCAAATATCAATGGAATTCCGATTGTGTTAAGAATTGAACCGAATGGATGGATCGATATTCGATCTTCAAAATATCACGTTTCTTCATTGATTATTCACAGGATGTACCAACTGTCGTGCAAAATACAGGTCGGTTTAAGTTTCGATTCCGTCTTGAAACTTCCTTTGTTGGGATCCATTAAATTGCACGCACGAATCGTGTGTATTACCTGAGTTCGAGGCCCTTTAATCACGGTATCGGGTTTCCTTCTCTTTGATTTACCTGCACTTCTTGATAGTAATCTATGCAGGTTCATCGAAATCAAACGGAAGTGATGTTCAGTAATGTTACTTTACTACTTTGCAATCTTAGTATACTTAGTGTCTCGCCACACAGTTAGGTGCTGCAATTATTGGCACCGAATAAAATTCTATAAAACGTGCAGACTCTGCAGACTACTTCCTAGTCGTCGATTCGATTTGTACCGTTTTATTAATTTTCTGTCACGTTCGGCAGAAACGATGATTGGATTATGTTGGCGACGGTATAATGTCTGGCGAGACGTCGCGTCGCTATCATTTAATATTTTAACAGTTTCTATCAGTTCTTTAATCTGAATTATGACATCAAAATAAAATAAAATTGCGTTAATGTAAACATGTCTTAAGTACGCGCTTTTTATTAACGCCGCATACCTTTCATCTCAGATTTCAAAGTACCTACAGGATGAAAAGATCACCCCGAAAGGATTTATAAGCCGGCAATGTAAGAAAATATTTATCGCGTGAACTGAAGTGGTGTCTGCGCACACTTCAAATAACGTCTAGTGTACTTAAGTTCTGCTCAACTAGCTTCACGTGTTCAAATTGAACCTTCGGAAAAAAGTTTAAGCACGTGTGTAATAAATGCGACAAATAGAGGAAGCGAATGCAACCCTCATCGTGTGCAATGCCTGTGGTGATGTGGAGGAACGATCGTGAAACAGCTTGACGCTCTTCCGCCCACAGCTCGTAAAGTTTAACAACTGCGCGCATTTATTTCTATGAAGCATGTGCAGTGATGTCCGCTATGAAGAGCAACCCTCGCCGCCCGACCCCAGAGCACGGTTAATGAATGCCTTTTTTTCCATAGTGTGGAGGAAAACATCTGCCGCTCGTCGGTCACACTTTTGTAATTTGATCATTGCTTGTTTAACTGAGATACTGCGTTCAGGAGTCAAAAAATTAAATTTTGACAAAAATATTTCAACAACAACACTGATTATAGTTTTGTACTGCCCTAGGGCCCAAAACTAAATTTAAAAGCCTAAGGGAATATTTATATTAAAATATTTAAAATGTTTATGTTAATATCGTATAAAATATTTTCCGGCATGGGAACTAAACATTCAACCGCCGGCCACGCCAGACTAACGCAATGACTTGACTTGTTCATCGAATGTGCAATGTGCATGAGACATCCGGTGTCCGCCCGACGCATTCCTTTCAAGTCCTGACCCCATCGCATCACTTCCACTCGCACGAGCTTACTACATATGTGATACGACATTACCAAGAGACTAACAATTATATCGGCTAACCACCGGACTTAAGTCGTATAGTAAACGCTGCATACACAGCAGACTTTATAAACAATGCCACGTCTGTTACTTGACTATCGCTTATACATTAACCGCATATCCGCAGCATGACAAGAACAAAAATTATGTTTTGCTAAGAAATTTACGGAAAAATATTCGCAACAACTCAAAAAATATTGTTTTAGGTGCTTAGATGGAACAAAATAAATATTTACCTTAGCGTAGTCCAAGGGAACGGAATTTTCTGGACTTGCGAAAAGCCCCTCACTGTAAAAACAAGAAAGAAACATTACTATTATTATAATTATAGCTTCGTTAGTAGTGGAATGTACAACTGTCCAACAGCTTCATTAATATGCATAATATAATATTATATAGTTTTGACGACACTAGTGAAAGATGTTTCTGTATTATTTGCTTTGAAAACTGAATAAGAAGAAATGTAACATGCGACCACAACATAAAACGTTTTTGAAACGTTTAGCTCGCTGCCAACACGATACCGTCTGCCTGGCGAACATGTGTTTGATGTGCTTAATGTTAAGTTAGCATTGTTCACTCCTCGGAAATGTATATAATTTCACCATAAGCGAAATTACTTCCAATTCCATTCATGCCTCGTTTTTGTGGATGCATGCAATGTGCGCGCAGTGCATTTCATCTTTGATCCTAATCACAACTATCGTTATACACAACTGTAACTTATAACTTATAACACTGTATCTTTTACTGTAGTTTTTTTTTTAGCTTTTAACAATGCTCACATGCATGCGGTTTTTATTGTTCGATCAAAACGTAAGTAAATAATAATCGTGCAATATGGTTTTCCATTTTTATTGTTGGTTTATTACAATGGAATTAAATATTTTAATAATGTACATCTGTTCAATGTGTAATTATTGTATATTTAATTGTTTTTGTTTGCAGAAAGTTTGTTAGAGTTTCGCATGCCCTTTAACATTATTCAAGCGCAGTTGCACTCAACGGCTGCACAAGAGGCACGAGGCGGTACACAATGTTGGTAAATCGAAAGAGTTATAAGAGTCACCTGCTCCAGGTGCAAAGCCTTTGCTTTAGTAAAGGCAAAATGAAAGTAAAGCTGGCCAACTCAAAGTTAAGTACATTGTAATCATTACTTTCGGTCGCTTTGAGTGGCATGATTTTAAGAAATCTACTAAAGAGGCACGTGGCTTGAACATTCAAGCTGCGTATGTTGACATTGAGTCATGAAGAAAACCATGTCATAATAAGAAATCTATATCGGGCAATAAACAGATTACATTTGCAGCTGCTGCTGTTGAAATATGATAATATTATAATGTTAGTCATTGATAATGTAGTGTTATAAAATATACAAATATAACCCACATATGTACAATTCATTCCATTTTGAACTTATCATTCTAATCTAATATCATTGTGAAAAATCTAATTTAAGTCAATGCTGCGCATGTGTCAGGATGGCCGAGCGGTCTAAGGCGCCAGACTCAAGTGCAAACTTGCTTGTTTCAATGCAAGCTGAGCGTTCTGGTCCTCATCTGAGGGCGAGGGTTCGAATCCCTCTTCTGACAAACACCTTTTCTCATTTTTTATGACCAGACAATTATAATCACAGTTATTTTATTATAATTTTTGTAACCTATTGCTTATAAAACATAAATAAAGCGAATTAATTTGACGATTTTTTTCCTGAATAAAAGCGGTCAAGATGAGATGTTAAAATAATAATAAAAAACTTTATTACCGGATGTACACCTACGGCGCATTTTATATATTCTTCATGCTATAGTTAAGTTTTAGTAGCACGTTGAATTTAATTCACTTATAATCTGATGTTGCTCTCTGAAGTGTTTAAAACTAATAACACACCACATTTTACATTCCGATACGTGTAACAGAGCAAGAAATTCCATGATTCCATGAATTCGAGATTCATTTGTACAAATTATGCACCCAGCATTGTTTCCAAGATGTTCAGATACCACAACCTACCTGTTGAGCACGAAACAAAGCTTAAGTAAGCACAGTATATCTACGCCTTTACAAGGAAGAAATTAAAACAATGCTGATTATTCGTGAATTAAAAATTCAGCGCGCGTGCCGCGCTTTTTGATTGTATATGAAGTTTTTATTCAGTGAACACAATCGCATAATAAACGCAAGAAATTAATCAAATTAAATTGCTTGAAATTTGAGTCCAAGTCATGGAAACAATAAAAAGAAGAAGGTCAGCATAAAATTCGTTGTGTATAAATTTAAAATCCTAATAAATTCATAACTAAAGACATTCTACAACACAACCTTGAATATTTATTCTCATCATTACACTTTTGATTTTAGCGTTTATAGTATTTGCCTGCTCTCTTTGAAGTTACACACCATAACCTTTTATAGCGTTAATATTTTATTACATCTCATGTTGTTAAATAGACAATATAAATGTGTGCAAACGTAATAATTAAATCTGCACCGCAGAACAGAAGGCGCAGGCGACAAAATCACATAACCTTGCCTGCGAAACAAACGGCTATAAATAACACTTGTGTAAGTCGTGTAAAACGCAGGTTGCAACCGGACAACGGCGGTGAATAATTACGCAAATAATTGCATTAATCTAAGAACAAAGTGCATAATTCTAATATTATCACGACAAACGTATCCTGTTCTAATTTAATCAGATTTAAAATAACTAAAATATTTCTCTTCAAAAACAAAGCAATGTTGTGCACTTAATTATTATTAACTTTAACTTTTAACTTTTAAAATTATGTACAATCAGCATAACAACGTTTTTTAATTAAATCGTGCGAGCTAAATTTATATAATCACAGTTTAGCAATTTAATTACCTCTATATGTAATACCAACACTCGCAAATGAAGTCGAAAGTTTCCATTTTACGAGTAAATAAATAATAATTCTATTTTACTATGAATTAACCAATAAAACATGCGCAAAACTAGGCAATCCTTATGTCTTAATAGCAATTAGTAGGCAATATAATATTTATATTGATATTTGAATTGACATATCGCCAATATTCTGAGAAATATGTAGATGTATTAAGAAATTGCATGACATACGAGTATTGGCAATTACCACCATGAATTTCCATTAATAGCGGTTTAAATTAAGCACTTGCGACATACCCATAATTACGATTTCTCTTTTCCCTTCTTGGGATAATTTAAAACCAACAGGGTAAAAATAACCAACAAAATTAATTAATTTAAAAGAAAACGTTTAAAATTTAGTATTTAATAAGTATATTAGATAATTATTAAATTAAAGTAATTAATTAAGTAATAATAATTATCGTTATTACTATAATTAAAACGATGTTAAATAATTCGTACCTTGTAATGTCGAATACGAGCCCCATAGGCATCGCGTTTGAAACCTCACTAGCAAACTTCAACATCGAATAGTTTTCGACAACAATCACTTCAAATTAAATTTTGTTACTGGTAATACGACCTACGCTAACTTAAAATAGTTTATCGAGAAAACAATAAATTAAACTTTGGTTGTTTTAAGTTTGAAAGTTGTGCAATGTGCGCGCGATTGCAAGTGCAAGTCGATGACTTGCGACGACTTGATCTGAGCGTGTCTAAGGTCTGTGCTTGCAAGAAACCACGCGAAGAACTGGCGTGAGCCGCGGCGCAGGTGAATATTGCGGTGTGCCCCGGCGTGGTGTCAGGTGGGACGCGGCCACCGGATGTATGTAATATCGTCGTAGTCTCTTCGCGTTGATTGTGTGTGCATTAATAGGCGCTCATCGCGTACGTGCATCGTGTATGCATACACGTGAGTCGGAAGGGAGCGGCGTTAGCGCGCCCCAGACACCGCTGCGGCTTCTACAAAACAATCAACCGCACATCTTGTAACGAATAAAACAGCGCGTGAATGCGACGACGAGGACTCTGGACATCATATTCATAATGTGCTTTATACGCACACGCAGTTTATTATTCTGTGAACAACTTGTTCTTGTCACTATTGCTTCTCAAGATACCAGATATGAGATTAATGATATGATTTGAGACCAATTAATTTGAGAAATGAGGAAAACACTCTGTAGTTGATAATAAAAAGAATGCAATTGATAAGATGCAATAATAAAACGAAGAAAAGAATTCGCATAATATTATTCCACGCATGTGAACAGCAAAAACTTAGTCCATGGCGGTTTAATTCTAATGACCGTTGCGATGTGAGCATTTCAAAGGAAAATTATGCAGAAAATTATTCATACATAAAAGAAGTTAAAGAAGTGATGCAATTTTTAACTTGGTTCTGCATGTTTTACGCTGCTGCAACTATTTGGCTTGAAATATTTTTGAAATATTTTTCTGCTGCTGTGATGCAGCTTGCATCATCCAAAAACTGAGGATGGTTAGCACCTGGCCCTTCAGATTATGGTCGCGTGTCGCTTTCATCTTTTTCTCCTTTCCACCTAGCTATAAATTTGGTTGGTTACCCTCACATACTTAGAAAATAGGTTCAAACCCACGTGCGTAGAATTTAAAAATGAAATATGAGATAAATCAAACCAAGCATCCCTCACGTCCTTCACGGAGCTTCATATTGTTCATATTCAAAGCTTTCGAACCCTCTATTATTTTTAAAACACGCGCATGACAGACGTGCGGCTAGGCACCACATGTTGAATTCCGGCATTAATCTTAATTTCAAACATAATGCTAGCTAAAATGAACAAAAATTGAATTCTTATAATTTGCTATAAGGCACACATGTTGAAACATATGATTTTGTTTGAAAAGTAATAAAACTAAAAATAAAATGTAGACACTAGGTTTCCTGTCTAAAAATTTCGATTCGTTCTGGTTTCACTTTTGGTTGTTTTTCCACCAGTTTCTGCTGCGACATGTTTAAATGAACATCAAATAATTACAAGAATAAGCGTGGAAAGCCACGCTACTAAAACCGTGCAGTGGCAGTTAAAGCAAACGAGGGAACAGTAGTAAATAAAAACCCACAAATAAAATTCATCAATTTAGCTTCTAAAGTTCCAGCACTATTCTCTGAAAGTGTAGATCCGTTTTCAACGGAATCGTTCCTAGAGTAGACAGACTACCTAAGCTCTATCATCATAACATTGTGTACTAATAGTGGTTTTCTAGGATAGCCTGCGCCTACAAGGAAAACCAAGATAAACGAATCAGATCAGGGCACATGTTTGAGTTGGAGTAGCACCTTTGTGCGACAGCTGTTTGTCTGTTCAAAAGATTTGCCGAAATACATACATGTTGATATACAGAGTGTCATAAAACTTATAATGAAATAATAAATATTAAAAGTAAAGTTACATTAAAACACTCTGTATATTAAATGTAAAGACCAGACGTGTGCCCTAGCCACCATCATCACAACATTCCAATTCGCCAGGTGATGTTATATTTATACCCTCTTTTTAATATTCCTAAATCTTGCCTGGACTTTTAAATTCTTACTTTCCACCTTGCTTAAGTAACTAATTGCTCTCAAAGTCTAATAAAATTACATTGCTCTCAGGCTTGAGAGTTGGTAATCTCTTCTATGTTTACCTCTACCACTCGTCAAGCAATTTCATACCAGGCGTTCAAGAGTTGATGATTTCACAGGTTTTAATGTGAGAAAAGAATTCGCGGAATGTGTCCTCTTTCATTGTTTTCACATGCGCTCGCGCCGCCTTTTATCCGCTCTAAAGATACGAGCATTGCGCGCATTATAATGTTGAACGTTGAATTTAAGCCGCGACTCTTCAGTACTCCGGCGCAAGTGAATAGGAAACAATAAGAAATCAACATTTTTTTCTTGTCCAAGCGCGAGGGCCGCGAATCGCTCGAGCGTTACGCGCTCGTTCGACTTCTGCGGCGAGCAGAGCACCGAGCGACGCCGACAGGAAATAACATTAACATTTAAATAATAAGAAGACAGCAAAAAATGTTGAACAGGCCACTCGAATGAAGTCAATGTCTGGTGCGTCTTCATAATGACCAAAGACAACAACAACAACAAAAAAACTAGTAAACAACTGAGAATTTTTTTGTTACCTTCACATGTAATGAAAATGCGGGTAGATGGATGAAGTTTGTGTTGATAAAAGAGAATTAACACGGAACGAATTGGACACTCGCATCACTTTAGGCCGACTAAACGATTCGTAAGTAAATAATAAACAAACGCATTCGACGCTATCTGAATTTCCGTTGCGGAATAGAATTTTTCATTCGCCTACGTTAACATCAAAACAAACAATTTCACGATATGTACAACTACAAACAATGTACTCTTAAAACGTTTACTATGAGTTAATTACTATATCAAGTTATTTTTATGCACCCTGTTGGGAAACATGTGAGAAAATCCGTTGAACTGCATTCTTCCACATTTCTCTATAAAATGACCGGATGCATTCATGCAGCAACACGCATGAGGTGGCAATGTAATGATAAATATATTCGAGTACCGGAGAAAATTATAAACACTCACCTGCTCAAGTCCAAATATATCGACACCGACTTTTCCAACCCATTATTACTTCGAAAAGTTAAACTGAGACAATTGAATTTATGCATATTTAAGTCTATTTTTTTATCTAATCACTTAAGTATCAAATCTAGTTCTTCACGGAGAATTCACTAGAAATATTAAAAACACGATGAATGTAAACAAAGCAGTCTTGTATTGTTCATCGCTGAAGGTCAAGATAACACGATTATCTTTAGCTCGCACCGATTGCACATGTCTGAACGCGTTCGTTTGAGCCGTTTGTTCGTTACACTTGCCACCGCAATGCCCGTTTACTCGGAATATTAAAAACACACACGTTGCTGAAACTCCTCACGAGCTCATCTCACTGCAGTGGATGTTAAATATATAATATCGTAACGTGTATACTGTACAGCAGTTGACAAAACTATATGCAGACAAGATGTTTATTCTAAACACACCACGCGACCGCCACGCTTCCACCCGAAACAACGACTGATGCGCGCACATGCGTCCCGCGGATTAAGATATAGGCATATTGCAAATTTATTTACAGTGTACCAACCGTCGTAACACCTAAAAAGTTAACTAAGTCAAAATAGAAAGAGATGACTATATTAATATGGTTAACATTGGATAAAAATACGGAGCGCTAACTGTTAAAAATAATGAATGTTTAATTTAAGGCACAAAGAGGAAACAAATCAATTAATGCAAGTTATAATAAGTGTCGCTTGCAGTACCCAATTAAAACCTAATTAAAACCATTCTACATCTGAATCTAAGCGTTGAAAATCTAATTAGCAATAATTTTGTTTAATAACATGTTATTTTTGTTTAATTTTCTGATCTTTTTAGATATTTTATGCAATAAATGATTTCTGCTTTGTTATTTGCCATGTGACTAATTTAAAATTCAAATTGAAATCTGTTAATGAAGATACGCTTTACTGATTTGAAGGTGCGTAAATTTTCTGTACGCACTAGGTTTCGGTTGATGCATTTTTCTCTACACAACTCACCGCAACAAACAAAACAATAATATTTCTACAAAAAATCAATACCTGGTCAATTGTTATTGATTTGACAATAAATATTATTGTGCGTGTTTGAATTTACCGTTATCTAATAGTATTTTAGTGTGTATGTTATTTTAGTTTGTATTTCTGGTTTTACTTTGTAATTCCCAACAACTTGTATATGTTATGCATCGATGGAAGCACCATATGCCACTTAGATACGTATAATACCTGAAAACAACCACGGAACATCAAACATGCAGCAGGCAAATATTTCATGTTTAATTTATTTAAACCTCCACCTTGCATTCACTGTCGGTACGGCACTGAAACAAAGTAATGTATGTATGACGGTTAGTTAGCTTTTGTAGCTTGTAATATTTATCATTAATGCACATTTCTGTGCGGCTATTGTTTCTTGGACTGTCGGATTGTAACGCACGTCTTCGTGATGTGCAGCGTTGTCTTTTCTAGGCTGTTGGCGGTTAACAATGCGCGTTATCTCGACGTAATCTGCGGACTGTGAAGTACAGATAATTGCAATACGTTATTAAGTGTTATTAACTCAACGCCAACATGCAAGCTTGTGTTAGTAGTAAATTATAGTAAGAATTAAGAAGAGACTTTGATTGTAGTATTTCATTAAGGAGTTAATGATAATAATTACAAATCAAAACTTGCTGTAGTAATCAGTGGTATCGCTGTCGCTGCTACTATCATTGTCCAACCATTCTAGATTATCGCAGTAATAAATGAAAAGCGGCGGTATCCAGAAGTTGGGATCCATTCCCACACTGGCCATGTGATCTCGTTGATCTGGTATACCGTTTTCTTCTAAAGTTAGGTCATCTTTAAGCGGTTTATCAAAGTATCGCCAAATGTATTCGTTGGATAAACTGTTAAATATTGAATATCTTTCTTTGATTCTTAAAATGGTATCTTCCGCGCAGACATTTAAAAAAGTCTCAAAACCAAACAAAGGATTTACGATTCGTATTGGTCGCACGCGACTTGTTAACTTTCCGATTATATACCTGAGAGAATAAACAAAATAAAATATTTACTGACCGAAAAGTACATGTGGCGCCACCTATCATCCTTCCACCAAGGCGTATAATCAAGCGGTCGCCACTCTTCATTTGGAACTTGCACATCAACATCTGGAATTCTTCCGTGCGGAGTGTATGGCACACGGCAGCCGGAAACAGGATGTATATGATATTTTATATCCCCAGTGCGTTCATCGAACCAATCGGTAATATCCTTTCCAGCGAACGCTATCAAAGGTTTAACACAGTTTTGCCTTCATACTTCTCGATCAACGGTGTTACATTTGTCACTTTGCCTAGAAAAGACACCCAACAGTCACTTGGCGTATTATGCACAACCACTTCAAATGGTGCATAATATTCGGGAGTTGTGCCAGTATAATTAATTTCACTTCCCATTATGTAAAATCTTGTAAATAAACACGTTACTTCAAAAAATAATCTTGTCACAATAGTACTTTCAATTCCTACCTAGGTAGCGCTTCAAGTCCAGGGATGCCCAAACAAAAATTAAATAAAATACATCAAAACCTGTAGTTTTATCATGTTATTTACCATAAAATATATACTTTGGACTTAATTTAATAATTACAACAATAATAATTTGTTGTTAAAAATGATGTTGTAATTTTAAATGAATTATTCTAAGTTGCAATTGCGAGCACTGGTTAGGTTAAATATTTGTAAAGTGCATCATCAAGTTTCCAAGGTTGCTTGCGTCAAGTCGGCATTCCTATCGCTTCTGCCAAATATTAAATATTCTAGATTGTCTCAAAAGGGCCACACGTCCCCATCACGTTTTAAAATAGCAACTGCAATAATTTAAGATGCACTTTTCACGCCATTCCATTATTCTACAACTAGTATGTATCCAGTTGATATGCCTCATAAGAGGAGAATGGAATACAAGAGATTTTATGAAGAGAGAACACTCACTTATCAAACCATACCAAAGTAAGTGCATGCATCTAATACTTGAAGATGATATATAAAAGATATTTCTTTTAAAAGCTGGATTGAGTATACCATTCTGGGATTTTCTGGGTCATACTATGGTCACAAATGATTTTGTTAGGCTCACTCCTGACAAGCAGTCTAGATCAGGTTCACTATGGAATTCTAAAGTACATTTTTAATATAAGTTCTTAATAGTTATGTTAAATAATGATTATTTATTAAATTTTAGCCTGTGAATGTCAGAAATTGGGACCTACAAATTCATTTTAAAGTGCATGGCAATGGTAAAGAGCTATTTGGAGATGGCTTTGCTGTGTGGTATGCAAGAGATAGAATGGAAGAAGGAAAGGTCTTTGGCAGTAAAGACTTATTCTATGGCCTTGCAGTTATTTTGGATACATACAGTAATCACAATGGAGCTCACACTGTAAGTAGGTTATTTTTACCAACTAATTGAGCTAATGGACAAATTTCTATAGCATCAACACCCCTTTATATCTGCGATGGTAAACAATGGTACTATGAGCTACGACCACGATAGGGATGGTACGCACACACAACTTGCTGGTTGTGAGGCAAAATTCCGTAATTTTAACCATGACACACACATTTCGATCAAATACGAAAAAGACGTATTGACAGGTTAATATTATCTGTTCTTACCTTAGTTCTCCTACTAATTGAATATTTTTAGTGTCCACTGACATCGAAAACAAGGCAGCTTGGAAAGAATGCTTCAGCGTTGCTGGCGTTAAACTTCCCACCGGTTATTACATTGGTCTGTCGGCAAGCACCGGCGATCTCTCCGATAATCACGACATACATTCGATTCGCTTTTACGAATTGGATCTTCCCGAAGATGTTAACACCGAAGATCGTTCGCAGATTTCTCCATCAGCTACATACTTCGAACCTCCACGAGATCACGTCGACGATCCGAAACCGTCGTCGCTGGGCGGCTTCAAACTGTTCCTCCTGATGCTGATTGGTGCGTTGGCGGTGATCACCTGCGTCGTTCTCGGCATCATGTTTTATCAGCAGCAACAGCAGACGAGAAAACGTCTTTATTAAATGCGCCGCGATTTATATTAGTTTTTGTACAATACAATGATTTACATTCAATATACAGCCGATAATCATTTTCTGTCATCTAGTCAATTGATTAAAGGACAAGAACGAGAAACAACAACAAGACACAAAAAAAAACAGCGTGCCAACCAAGCTACAAGTTCTCAACAACACAATTTAAACTATGTTAGTTCCATTTAGATACGTTATCAGTTTATTCTTTTACAATTTACATCATTGTTACACCAAACATTTATTTCATCTTGGTTTTAGTTGTGGTTGCGGCGCATTCACTGAGAATATTATTCATTCGGGTTATCATTGTTTCGTCTAAATATGTACGTAAAACCCGACTTTTTCTTTTTGTTATAAGTTAATTGGACTGTTTGCGACTGATTCGATTAATAATTGCATATGCAACAAACTGTGGACATTATTACACACTTATACATCATATTATAATATTTGGTTTTCAGTTGATTTTGCATTGGGGCCAATAATGTTTTGTTTGCACCATCAAATAAGTGACAAATTCATCGCGAATGTTACAAACTGTAATATTATCATATTGGCGCGATCGGCATTTTTGTGTGTATAATTCTTAATAAAGACATATTAAATTTTGTATCGTACAAAGGGTATTATTAAGTGTACATACATGACTAGCACTTTATATTTTATTCCGTTTGGTTTCTTTTTAATATATGTTTTTTTAATCGATGATTTATGGTTGTTGTAAATATAAACTGCATCAAAAAATATTGAGTTACGGTGGGCGTGACATTTTTCTTAGCAACATGTCCATTTCGGATTCTTCGGTAAGCTGTAAGTGAGAGAGCTGAGAAGATAAAACGTTAAACTCACTACAAAGTGCAAATTCTATTTGAAATTATCTCTCTGTCACACCAAACTACTCGTAATTATTAAATACACACCACACTTTTCTTAAGATTCTTCTAATTGATCCAATCTAGTATATCTCTACGTCAATATATACTATGAAAATGTTCGAAAAGTTACAACATATATGAAATGAAATGGACATGTAGCTGCTACTTGAAAGTGGAGTAAGTCTGTAACACAGATTTCTTTTTGGAAGTTGCTTTCATAATTTGATAAGTACAATTAATACGTAGATTCCAGTAACACCTCCTCATCATTGAGTATTTCTTACTTAATGTGACTGGTAACGCGCGGCGCGTGTTAACAACATAGAATATACGTGATACATTTAAAAACATCGATAAAATATTTCAATTTTTTTTCCTCGTACACAGATAAAACAGTCACCAGTTTAACAACGATATTATTTTAGACTTCTTAAATATGTTCATCCCCATCGTATCCGCTTGCATTCCTGCATTCCGTGAGCTTGCATTGACTATCATAAATTATAAAACTATAAAACGATTATCAGCTAATCGCAATATGATAAAACTAATCATTAGAAATAATATGAAACCTAATGATGAAAAATTACGTTCAATAAGAGCTCTCTTTTTATAAATGAATTTTCATTTGTAGATTTAGAAGCAATTTAGCCCATTTTTTCAAGTTTTGTTTAGACGGTTGTCTCGCGAAATATTTTCACGGGGTTGTCGATATTCTTAATATAAATATATCTCGTCACCGTAGACGAATCGATAACGCTATCGTTACTATTCGCAATTAGAGACGGTGTGATTTTATGGTCCGCATTCCGTACGTTCAGGCCTGTTGACAAGTCATACATTTGTAGTAAGTGCACAATTTAAACAAACAGAGTACGCCAAACACTGCAGAGAAAACTTAAAACCAAACGAAAAGAAAAAATCCACAACAGATAAATGTAACTCGTCGGTTTTTACGAATTTGGAGTGTTTTCGTTTACACATTTCGCAAAATTTAATGATCACGTGTTGATAAGTTTCTCAATAAAATATGTTAATTATATTATTTATGTACATTTAATATCACAGTAAAACAATTCATGACCGAATGTCCTTCCATTTAATTCGGGTCGAAACGAAAACATTCCGCTATCACCGCGTCGTCCCAATTATGTTCATAAACAAGGCATCAACGTAACGAAAACTAAAATCTTGCATCAACGGCTTGAGCTAACAAAGCGGGCAAAATTTGTTATAGAATGCAAACATCGATTACTGTATATTGTGTGCTTAAAATGCAGGTGAAGGTTGTAAAACGAGGGATTTGTAAACGTAAAATAAAACGTGTAACTCTAAATCACAAAATACTACACCAGCATCTACAATTGCAAGACGTTTTACTACTCTCCACGTGATCGTCACAATCGTCGAGCGATTTTCGGCGCGTTGCTTTCGCATTTCGCGCGCCGTCGTCTATTTGTTCCAAAATCTTTGGCACTTTAAGCGGGTCGACCTCGCTGTATGGAAACCAACGTTGGTTCTCGTCGTGCATGGACTCGCATGGCTGCCTGTCGTCGTCGTCATGCAGACGACTGACAACCGTGCTCGTCTGCAACTCGCTCATCGCACGCGGGCGAATCGCATCCTCGTCAGCAGCTATCGTCGGCAGCTCGGCGACGTTAACATGCTGCGACACGCTGCGCGTTATCGCCATACTAGGTTTAGAGTTTTCCTTAAGAAAAGTCTCCAGCCGCTTTTTGAGCAACATTGGCGACACGCTCGTCCGACGCAAATCACTCAAAGCCACATCCACTTTTTCCTGGTTTGGCGAGTGCGATTCCGCGCTTTCAGGCGTGTACGGATCGTGCTGCAGCATGTCACGCGTCACCGGCTCGCGCAACAAGTTAGGATTGATCGTAATATCGCTGGTGCTGTGCTTGAGATAATCGCTCATGTCGATCACGTTGATGGTCACGTTTGCGAACTGACTACAGCACGGGCAATTCATCGGCAAGCAATATTCGTTATGATGACAACACGTAATAATACCTGAGTTGGTTAGGATTGACGTTCGCAAATACACCGGCTGGAAGAACAACAAATGCAACACAATCAATGTAATGTACAATACCGGTTGACTCGCAACTAAGTTTATACATGTGGCACTAAATGTTTGGCAATTATTTACTGGTGATCTTCAAATGCAAGGGAGCAACGTGAGCATGATTTTAAAATACCTCTTCACTCGCCACTCGCGAGCGACATGTGAAAATCCAAATAAACCGGCTGCAGGTACAGAATAAGAGTCATACAGCCTTTGATTTTCTTGTCAACAAGTGTAGATTTTCGTTCGAGTTTGTGTTAATTAAAGATTAATAATGATTTCACTAACCTTATGGTCTCCCATGCAGGTGTTCTGTCCCATGAGATCATATTCTATATGGTCAGTCTCATCAATTAACTTTTTGGCTGTGTGGCTGAGGAGGACGCGGTCGCACCACGCCGGGCAGCGCGTTTGCATGTAGCTCGACGCTTTCGACATGGCCTCCTCGAATGGATACGAAGGGGCAAACGTTATCGGAAATTCAAGAAGCGTCTCCTTGAACGCATCTACTTCCTTATCATATGGTTTTAACTAAAAGACAAATAAATATCAACTAAAAATACGTTTCAAGTAAAAATAAAATAAATACCCAATCGTCTGGTTGTTGACTGAAAACTCCCTGGTGATCCGCATGATTAAATTCCTTCTTGCCAACCGTGAGTACAGCGTCCTGATCCTCGTTCCGGTACTGCAGCTTGGAAAACTCGTTGTTCTTATTGTTCTGTATTCGAACGGTTGTCAGGCCCTCGGTGAGTTTCTAAATGTGATTTGTTTAGAACCGACAGGAAACGTGATTGTGATTCAAACAGGTAGTGCACATACCTTGATAACGCCGTCAGTATCGGTCCGGAAGTTGAAGTCGCCGAAGAGGATGTACGGCACGTTGTCGTACTCGTCGTTGTGGAAACGCTGCAGCGTGTGCTCAAGCGCTCGCCGCCGATTCGCACAGTACACCGACGGGTACGCCTCCATCGCGACAAAATTTGACGCGTCGTGGAACAGATGGATGTTGATCAAATCAAATACACTGCCTTCGATCGACCAACGCGTGCGAAGGAAACCTTTTCGTGACCATTTACACTATTCGAATATCGGATTTGTTAACATTTAAATACCAAGAAAATCAATATGATAGCATGGCATTGTGAAGGTCAGTTGGAAATAAAATGCTAAATAGTTAATAAAGTGAGTACTTACTTCTGGAAAAAAGTTTTGTGGAAATTTGGACTTCTCTTTGGTCTCAACTGCTTCAATATTGCCTGAATGTGTTTCTTTTCCAACACATGGAAGAAAAGTTGCTTCTTTGAAGTTCCATATTTGTACATTTTCAATGGATTCATGAATGAAGTAGAAGTTTCCTAATGCCTTTAAGGTATACACATTACTAAGATTTTAAATACATAAAATTGGGTATAACCTACTGTGAAGTGTTCTGCTGAGCTGTAATCTTCATCCAGATACACTCTGACTTTGTCATAAGGTCTCAGCTCATTTGAGGACATCAGCAAGTTGACAAAATGCTCAACATGCTTCATACTATTCTCATAGTTTTTTCCTCCAACTTCCTGGCAATGCAATGCAATAAACTTTGGTGATAGCTTTGATATTTTTGAAAGAAATTCATCAGTCCAGACTTGCAACATTACAGAGGGCTAAAAACCATAAAATCGATTTTTAATCTGTGTTCATGAACGCGGATTAATGAATGCGTGTGCGTGTATTGAAATGTGATTGAAATGAAATTGTTGATTGTTGTTATTTTGATGCGGTCCGCTTACGTTTTCGAATATCGATCCCACGTTCGCAGTGACTAGAAGCACAGGGATGCTGGTGCCCATTTTGGATCGTTCGCAGCGGCGGAATCGCCTCTTCTCGTTGTCAGGAAAACAATGCGCCGTGAAGAGCGCGCGCCGCCCGCGGCAGTAACTCACTGGCGTGCCGTGACGATTCGCCTTGACGACGCGAAGCCGTCGCTCGACATCAACTTGTTATTGCGGCACACATCGCCGCCCTGCCGCCGTCGCACTGGCCGCGCGCGACATCCTTTCATTCACGATCTTCACGAATCACGCCGATCGTGGCCGCCGGCGAACTTCTTTGAATCGATTGCGCCCTGAACACGCAACGATGCCCACCTGTTTACACAATTTATTGTGTAAATACTATACGGGGTTTGCTAGTGCGCTTACTCCTCGTTTGCTCGCGCAGCTCGGTTTAGCGCGCGACCGCGTCTAGCGTACAACTACAACTGGCTCGGCGGTGTTATTATTGGAGCGCAATCCCGCAGCACCACCAATGCCGACTGCGAATCGAGTGCATGCGTGCGCGCTAGCCTACAGCAAGAAAAGATCTTGTTTTTTTTTAATATTCAGGGCGTATATACGATTATTAGCTCACTTTCAGAAAACTGTTTTCCATACAACAACCACAATATTTGTATTTTATAATTTTCATGATCGTTGACATTAGGCAACCAACATGCCAAAGAAATTCTTTTATTGGCAATTTTTCAGTCAACTCGCATTTTGTTTAAATTCTGCCAAAAAAAAACTTAAAATAACACAGTCATATATTAATTTCTATAAAATAAAGATAGCAACATTCATTGAAGGTAACCAAATACGTAATTATACTGTGAACTTGTAAATGAATGCAAAGAGCCTTGATTTTACCATTAGCGATTAGGGGGCGTTAATTACCCACGTTATGCCTCATGAATTGTGTAAATTTCGTGTAGTAAACATCGTCATCGCTAGACGTGCGTCAATATTGATTATTCCATATCTGGTGAAGACGGGGTCATCTAACTAGAGCGTCGACCGGACGTAACATTTATAGAAATACATCCACAAATTATATTTTCTGTTATAATTACATACAAAGTGTACTGAACAAGAATTTATCTCAAAATTCTGATTTTATTTCTTCCAGTTCTGTTATTAAATTTTCCAGCTGACTAAGTTTCATTTCAAAATTCAGCATATCTTTTCCATCTTTGACATTACTGATACAACTCAAATCTACCTGCACCAAAGGTTCACTCAATGAACTCAACTTGGAACTACCCATTATCCACTTAATTTTCCAATCAATGCTTTCTACTAATGGAATGTTACTCTTTAGTAATTGTTCTTTGATCACAGCTCTATGAATATCCTTTTTTCTTATATTAAAGCATGTTTCAATTTCTTCAACATGTGTACTACTTAAATCAGAAAGCTGAGGTGAAAATTCATCCTCAAATATGTATTTCTTGTAGAGAGCTTGAACAAAACTTCTGGCTTGTTTATGTTCATCCACAGACCATTCAATATCATCCATGCCATTGTAAAAGTTTTCTTGTTCTTTTCCTACCAGTTCGTCAACACATTGATGTAAAAACTACAATAATTTAAACTGTTAAATTATATATCTTTGAAATATATTGATAGGCCGTACCTTTTTTAATACTGTACTGTTTGTTAATTTAAGAAGACAATTTTGATCAGCCACTGTGTTTGCCATTGCAAGTTTTGTGTATAAAATGATTGAAAGTTGTGAACAATCAGGTTATGTTGCAAGATACATTTGTCTAAATTAGTTTACAATATTTAATAAGCACTTATTTATATTAATACTTTATCAAAAATGATAGGAATATTATATTTGTTGAGTATAATTGTTAAGAAGTGCTTACCTGTCAAGGTAATGATTAACAACTTAAAAATTATATGTGTGCTGCTGTCTAGTGGATTTGAAGGTTGTGCTTTATAGTAATCGTCACTAGGTGGCGCCACGCTTTCCACATCGAACGAAAAATACAAGGAGAACTTGAAATATAATATGTTATAAAAGGAAAATATAACATTGATCATGGTATGCAAATCAATTCGGTATTTCGGAATAAAAGTTTATTGGTTATTAAAATTATTTAGTGTCGGTTCTTCACAGAGTTCATATATATTATTTTTTATACATAAAATGTGTCGTTGGAACTTAAGAAAATAAATCAACAATATATTTGTATATCATTCATAATTCATCATTTTTCTCATTGTCCTTAATTTACTACGAAGAATGCGAAGATTCTTTGCCATTATACTTAATATCATCAATAATAATAGTAATTCTCATCATTAATATCATTTATATACAAGTAGATGTCTACATGAAGATGTCTCATAGTTTACGTTATTTTGAGGTTCTCTTTATGCATTCATCATGGGAGTAAAACATCATTTAAATGTTGCGCTTCAGTGTGTTGCTCATATATATTTGTATTTCATTTATTTTGCTTCACTTCACTTAAGAATGTTAACAACTTAACTTACACTCGTAACATCATCATCATTCGCACACGCTGCGTTCTTGCCGCAATGTATATTTTATATATGTAATGCAGGATTCACTTAATCGGTATGTTACATCATTGTATTCACATCATTTATTCCAAATAAATCGAGTGTTGACGCGCATCGTCTTCATATATTAATATAATTTTTCTTATTCGTTCATTCTCTTTCTTAGTACGTCTAGGGACATTAGACATTATGAAGTATCAGTTAAGTACAAACAAATATAGCCACATTTATTTATTAAGTTATCGCTAAAAAGTATTGATTTATTACTAAATACGTGATGTGGATAAATCGCGATTTAGAGCAGTTTTAATGATGATTTATTTTCTCGTTTATTACTTTCTTACTTCTTTTTTTTTTACTTAAATTTAATGTTCGACATTAACCAGCAAACGACTAAAGTATAGCGTAACATTTTTTCTGTCTCTGTTTCTTATTCATTATTTTCGTTTTATGTGTTGAGTGAGTTCATTAATTTGTGGCTTTTCATTCTTCTTTTGTCTTTTCATCTTGTAGAATAAATTAAGCAAGTGTACAAAGAGTCTTTGATCTTATTTTTTCTCTTTATCTATCATCAGCTATTTGAACAAATTTAAAAAAAATTCAAACATTATTCTCACACAGATTTGCTAGTCACATAGAATATAAACAAAAACAAAAACATTTATCATGTTATTTGATTCTAACTAGTAGTCTGAAAAGTCCTTATACAATTAAATATCTTAAACATTCACACTACAATTAGATATTTATGATGACATTGATCAAAGACACTTTGTATGCGCTCATATTGACTTACTTTTATAGTTTTTTTTTGTTTTCTTATGCTATACTTTTTTGCATCATCGGTGTATTTAATGTTCCGTGTTCTTGTGTACTGTAGCTGCATATTACAATAATTAATGTATTTATTTTAAAATCATTTGTCCATTGTTCTCTTTCTTCGCTTCCATCGCCTATATAAAGTATAAAATAGCAAGAAATATCAAGACCTAAATCAAAATACAGTAGAAAAATAAACAACAACGCCCAGAATTAACAATAAGTGGTCAACAAAAGTATAGTTAGTAAAGCAAATACATTAACAGTCGAGCCCATGCGCTGATTGCCACCGTGTTGCATCGCCTCGGGGTGTTCACCTGCAACGGAAAGCAAAATGTTTCAGTTTCCACAAAATCGCACACACGCATCCACCGCTCACATATGCACACAATCATTACTTTGGTGCGTGGAGCGTGTGCAACTATATACTTTGAAAACGTGTACAACATGCCAAGGGAAACACAATTTAATGGCGGACGAGGTTGAATTTTTGTTTTGTATTGCATTGTGCTGTTTTGATGTTGTTCGTTTTGTTGTTCCCTGGTGTGTTTCTGTTGTTTTCTGGTTACTATTCGGTTTTAGTTGCGAGCGGTAACGACGAATTGTAATGTATCAAAACGTATCGCATCAGAGCGCAAATGAGCGCCGGTTGTTTACAAAAATGAACTACTTATAAACGTAAGGACGTAGAAGAAATGCCCAGCAAACACTTGCCGTCAACAAAAGGATACGCTTACACAAGGCTCACATATACCTACATCAAAAACCCGCACGTGAAAAAAACAGTTTCCCCAAAGAAACGGAATGAGGAACGGAAAGAAAAGGCACAAACTTATATAATACAGAAGTTGCGTGCTTAATATATTTTTCGTGACCTAAAGAAATCATGAGCAGAGAAGAAAAGCGCACGATTCTAAACATTATAAATGTATTGTGCGCCACGATATAACGCCGGCTAATTTAATCAATATTAACAAAGTTTTCCAAACGTATGATGCATATAATGAGTTTGACCCATGAGTTGTTCCAAAGCATTTTATCATATGAATTAGTAATTTATTAATTCCTTTAAGATTAATTGTTATATAATAAAAATATTACTTCAATACACCATGCGGAATTCCCTGTATAACAACGTTAATATTTTGTAATTTTGATAATTCCACAAAAAGTTACAAGAAAATAAAATTGTATCTTTTATTATCCAATGTAGAATTGGATACTAAACAGATAAGTAAACAAAATCCTGAATATTAGTTGATTAGTTACCGAGTAATGAATTAATAACAGTACCAATATTTTTAATGAATATTTTGCCTAGGTATATTCCATTCAATTTCAACGTTTGTTACTTTCACGTTTTCATACATGTCATACGTATGAAACAACTTGGAAACAACTCTTGACATGGTGTACATACAGAATTAAAATTGATGCAGACCACGCAACGCATTTCGAAATTATTCTACGCATGAAAATGCGTCGAAGCATAAAGAAATAAATATACATCTACGTATTTATTTTGTTAAACGCGTAAAAAATTACACGAGAATGCGAACAAAAACTCGGATGACATAATACCATGTTGGTATGTCTCGTTTTTAATTAATGCCCGAGCATGAATGATACAAATGTTTGTGTAAACGTATAATAAAGATAGTAAATGTTTACGTTGTTTATAAGTGTTTTTAATTAAAACATGACAACGTCGCTGGCGTTATTTAATTAAAAAATATGTTTTTAAAGTGTTGATTTTGATCCTTCAACGATAGTGTCATGCTATGCATTTTTAGAATTAATTTGAGCATTTTAATCCTGGCACTGGTAAAAAAAAGAAATAAATGAATATGTCGCGCAAAGTACAAACGTTGAATTTCACTAATTGTTTATGAACGGAACACCTAGCTCGATGCTTAACCCAAATTAATCACCTATATCAGACCGCGCATCGTCGTCATTGATTACCATAATTATATTAACGACATGTCAATAGGATCGAGTCAATGTCGTGTAAATAATGGTCAGTAGTGCGCATCCCCTGGAATGACATGAATGACAATTGAATGCATTCATACTGTAAAACCTAAATAACCAAAAACACTGCAAAATTTATGCATTCTGTGTGTTCAAACAGTTAGAATTTTATAATTGTGATGTTGTTATACAAACTAGCGCAGATTTGATTATTGTATTCAGATTATATAAATTTAATTACAATTTAAAGCTAGTTTAATTAATTTCCACCAACTTGTTTGTGCGGCATATTATGAATCATTAATTCCAGTGACGAAAGCTCTCATTAAAACGCCGCCCCTTTGTGCGAGTGATAATTAGCAGTATTACTTTCAGTAATATGACGCACACAGCAAATTTCACAAACAGGTGTGTTTTATAGTAGTAAATTTGCCGTAGCATCATAAGTGTAAAACAAAAAAAAAGACTTCAACCATAGTTTTATCAAAGCTTGAGTGGTTGCATAATAAGCTCATTATTGTGTTTTGTTGGCTTAGAACCTGCCAACTATCTTCATTTAGTCATTGTCTTGTCAAAAAGTAAAACGATACTGATATTGTAAGTAATGTGGTTGGAAAAAATGTTTTGTGATTTGTAATAGAGGTAAATCAGAGAATGCGAATTACTTACCATTTAATACGTGTACCGTGACGTTGGCAGGACGAGCATTAGATGGATTACATTGATAATTGCCGGAGTCGGTCGGCCGAGCTTTCTGTATAAGCAGCACGCTGCGGCTGGTCTCGCCTCTCTCGGTCGCAACGCTGACGCCGCCTCGGGCGCTCGAATAGCTTATTATCTGCAATCACATAATTAACAACCTCGTTACTGCATGGTGCGCCCGGCTAGTTTCTAGCAGTGGTTGGCAGGCGGTCGGTAGGGATCGGGTATTGATTTGAAAAGTGGTCGAAGGAACACGGCGCCCGTTTCGAACGCGCGCCCATTTCGCGCTAATTTGTTGACGTTGCGTAGCTCGCGGTTTCTGCGAAAAACCTCCAGCAGTGCATCAGCAACATTGTAGTTTGCTTGTTATTAAATATATGCCTGCTGAGTTTATGTTGCCAATGAGGCAACTGATAATTTGATTATCCTGCTTCGACATGCATCACGCTGCAATGCCCCGCGGGCAATAAATGTTGTCATGCGCACCGAATTGTAATTCCATGTGCAGAATGAAGCACACAAGAAACAAGCGCGTTAACAATGCGCATCATATTCAATGCCCTTTATGTGTCGTAAATTATGACGCGCAAAACAAACTGTCCTTTTTTTGCTTTTGTCAGGTGGCCTTCTTTCGTGTCTGCCGGTCGCTTTATGGTTTTTATTCTTGGTTGGTTTTGAGTAAGTACCAGTTTAGCATTGCTCAATGGTTTTATCGCTGTTCGCTTCAGGCCTGGCCCTTCGCGTTTGTGCTAATAAGGTAGCCAGCTAGAGTTCACTGCAACGAGTCGATGAAGAGCAGTTCAGAGACATAAATAACGTTTTATCGACGCAAAAAGTTTATACCTATTTTTTCCGGGCTTAAAATTCAACCCTTTTTACATTTTATGTGTCTCCTATAGAATCAGCGGGTGCTTTAACTCGTTAAGTTCAATTTTTCTTTATAACTTGTCTTTATATTTCATTATCAAAAAGTATAGTACGTAAAAGCTTTTTTGCAAAGATATTCACACCAAAAATATGATTTTTGCGCCTAAAAACCTTAGAAAAGTAAAAATTTACCTGGAATTGTTATGAGAAAAAGTTTAATACACAAAAAATAAATAGCGTGATACACAATACACTATTAACAAAGCCGTTTCCCTTTTTTCATTCTATAGCTAGTAAATTCTTATAATGCAGAAACGCGGATGAACTTCATAATTGTGATAAATGTGCCTGATGCGTGTTATACCTTAAGAAGATAAATTGATTTGGCCATTTTCGTTTTCACAGCATTTAAGGATTTAATTTAGCGCCTACTGGAAATCTCCGCGCCCGTATTGAAATGGGCGTCCAGGGACGCAAGACACGCTCGATTCCGGCGACTTTCAACTCTAAAAGGATTATTTATTAACTCGCCATCGTATGTATGCTTTTGCAAATCGCTACTTTTTACGCTCGACGGTAAGTGCATTCATGCGGAATTTCCATGAAAGCAATTTTTAACCACAAATTTTGCAAAGTATTTCCCTTCCGCATACGTACGGTGTGTGAATATGTGTGGGAGTGTTTTTGCTTTCCCGTCGGTATATTTTAATTGAGTTTTTCTAACACTGAGTTGCCCATCGGAGCGTTGCAGAGTATGGTTGGTTACTTCCTCGCGTCGGAAAAATTCAAATATTTACATTGAATTTGTTTGTCCAAGAAAAGGACGACGACGATGGCGGCGAAATCCGTGGCGGCTGTGACCAGGATTCGATAGTCGAGCGCTGTGTTTGTATTTCCAAAAAGCAAACCTAAACGAAAGTGAATCAGTACGTGCAAAACGTACGAGTTGCTTCGCATCGCCCGGCACAAAATGGCGCATAGCGGATACCGGATGCTGAGAGTACCAGCTTTTGCTAGCCTTCAAAATAAATTATTTAAAATCAATCCGTCTAGAGGAGAGATTCTCGCACGACGTGGCGACAAACTATCAAACAGGGCAAGGTTTTGACCTGAACATTCGACTTCTCATTTCTGCTTTATGACCGTCTGAATCTGAGGGTTTTGCTTTGTGTTCGAGTCGTCCGCTTTCGACATCTAATTGCAAGCCTCTACAATCTGCTGACTCTGCTATTGGCTTTACCTTTGACCGCCCGTTAGTGAAGCATCAAATTTCCTTGTGTTGTCATCGTCATATGAATTCCAACACATTGAATTCTCGCAACATTGTAGCAACTTGAGAGGAACAAAAATTGGTCGGATTTTAGTGAAGCTGCTCTAAATATTTATTTTTTTTCTTTGAACCTCTAGACTCACTAACTGGGTATGTTGGGTACGTAAGGAAAGATAAATGATTAAAACCGGAACACGGCTTCGCTTAAAAGTTTCGATGAAGGTTAGTGCTTGCGCCACTAAAACCTAAAAGTGAAATGGTGGAATGTTGGATACTAAAACCGGAAACTGTGAACATCTCTCCAAGCAAACAGGAGCGAATTTATTTTTCAAAATCTAATGTTTTTCCTCTAAAAATGCAATAAAAAATATAAGAAATTTAAAAGTAGAATATCTCTGAGGTGTAAAAGTAGTTTAAGAACCTGATACACCCCTGAAGATTTAAAAATTGTATTTTAAAACGTTCATACCAAAGCTAAACCCAAACAAAAACTCTCAAGCGCAGACAAGAGCGACGCATATAAACTTTGATGCTTTTATCGAAGTTATTATAACATCGTAGAACGTGTTCGTTTTAAAAAGTTTTTCATTCAGAATTTCAGCGGCTTGCGACGGGCGGCATACTGTTTTCTCCATTATACAGAAAACGGAAACAACATCGACTCGAGATTAGGACTTTTATAATACCTGCCGTGCTTGGTGCCCGGCGCCTTCGCACTTGCTAAGTACTTCTTATCACCAGCAGGGAAATTGCCTAGAGGCGGCAGCCCGTCGTTCACTGGATGCATTCAAAGTATCTGCACGCGGTCGAGGTATTAACTTGATTAATTAGTTTCCGGAGTGTGTTGGAAAGAAAAATCGGCTTCAAACATGTTTATCCCGGTGAAGTAAGTACATGAGTAAAAGTAATCAAAGTTTTATTGAAATGAAGTTTTTTCGAGGAACGGAATGCGCGGTATTAGAAATGTAAGTCAAACAGATGAGGGCAATTAAAAGCGGATTTGCACACACTGCGGATCGATAATAGTCATCAATTTTAAGCATCAAAAAATAAAAATAGAGCGTAATTTGCATCTTCTCATCCGTTGCACGCGAGGTATTGGGCACACGCGCTCGTCTGGCGTCGAGAAATTTAAAGTCGTAAGCTGTAATTAATAAGCGAATTTAACTACTTTATCAAACTTTGCTTAATTAATGTGAATATGAGTTTTTGTTTTAATAAGCCATTAGCGACGCCGCGAGCGTCGCTGGTTCTCGAAATGGCATGGTCGGAATTTACGCACCTCGCGCCTACGCTCATTCGTTGGCGGTTGGCGCTCATCCGCGCGCATTATTTTCACGTTCTGCGCGCGGACCCGCCGACAGCAGTTCGGGACATTTGCGCCGAATGATTTTCGGTTTATCTTTCGCGAAATAAATACGGCGTAATTCAAGCACCGGCAGACAAGCATCCGAGCGCAACGGCGAGCACACGAGACGCACAAAGTAAATTTAATATCAAAGACATTTTTGTCCGTCTGTCTGCTCGCAGCGAGTCAGTGAATAATGTACGTTACGAATTTGCGAGGCAGCTTACGGCAATAGAAGGGGTGTGCGGAACAATACAAAGAGTTGACGGGCAAGGGTTAGTGGTTTATTAATTACAGCGCCAAGAACGGTATGAATTTGCAACAAATTGGCGGCACGTTTGCCCCAACGCGGTGAAAATGCAATGTTATACGATACTCCAAAGCATTATAAACTCAAATGCAGTTAGGTTCATTAGAATTTAAATTTTATGTTTTAATTTCGTGTAAAACTATTAGACAACAATTATTATAAATACAAACTTTGTTATTGTAGGGGTTTTTACTGTGAGTACCACGTTGGGTGGGTTTAAAATTTTAAATTACCCCGGATCTGTTGTCGGACACGAGTTTCGGTTAGAAACACGCAGGTATACTGTGCGACGTGGCCGACGAAGGGGCCAGAGACTGGAGATTTCACCTTAGGCGTATGATGTTTTAGATCTGGCGTACTTATGCAGGATAAATTCGGTATATAAACATACCTCGCGAGCGTTGCTAACCCCGGCGAGGGTACATTCTAGCGTTACGCTCGATCCTAGATAATATAATACAAAATTCGTTCGCATACCCGTGTGGCCCGTATTGTTGCAGCCGGAACAGTTACGTTCGCAATTCTGCCATTTTCTGTGGATACTCATCTGTGTAAGTGTGCCCATCCTCATCGCCCGCAAGGCCTTCAAAACGCAATGAAACATGAAACATCGATTCGCGCAGCGTGGACGATATTAATCGACAGAATTTAAGTTACAATACACTTCGGATACGTGTTTGGTCCAAGTTATATTTCTGTTCAGCGCACATGTCGATTGTGTTCGAGCTAAGAAATACTGGTTGTTATACAAATAAAGCTAAAATTCGCCATTTCAGAGGAAAAAACTAAATTTTTTGACTTAAACTCATAAAATATTAATAAATATAATTATTTGTAATTATTATTATGTTTTATCTGAAATTTACGGTTTATTTTGTTAAATTTTGTATTTCTTGAAGGGGCTGTATATGAAAAAGTCTGGTATGAAGAGACCACAGCGGATGCGAATGCCCAATAGCCCCAATACAATTTGTACAATCAATGATCATAACGGAAAATTCAATGACATTTTCTAAGGTCGTTAAGTACAATAGACTGTAGCATTTGTATTGCCATTGCGTGCACATAGAAATTTCTCTCCGCTTCGCCTTGTTTTCAAAATATCCAGAATATAAATTGAATATTTACAGAACGGCTTAGCTAACGCAGTAGATATTAATATTCGTGCGCTGTATTCCAACAAAAAAGTAATTAATGCTCAAATTTAAGCACATTATTATTATAGACCTGATCCTTCCTGAGCGCGTTCAATATCCTACGAGGATTTTTTTTATAAAACTTTAAGCACAGCTTTAATTTTTTTCTCCGCGATGGTCTCGAGATGGAGCTGGAGCGCTAAACGCAATTTCCCGCGCGGAATTTAATTATGAAAAGTTTGGCGTGGGCGCTGCAAGAGTGAGAGTTCGATCATAAACACTTACCGCATCGTTGTGGTTCCAGTAGATGTAAGCCGGCGGCTCCGGACTGTGCCGTACCACGCAGGTGAGGTTGATGGTGCTTCCGCGATCGATGAAAAGCTCCGGACCGCCGACGATTTCAGTATCTGGCTCTGTAATACAAGAAACGTGATCGGAATTATTATACGTTCCAATATCCTTCTAACGGCGTGGCTAAACTCGCCCTTATATATATTGCGGCGCTCGAAGGAGAACAATTTGACGATTAAGGGATGCGGACGCCCCGGACAGACCACACTGGGTTCTCTCATCGCGTATTCAAATTGGCGCACCAATTCATTTAGCCATTCTGCTATCCGCCCTCGGCCCTTTCGATGCCTAAGTGGCCGTCCTCGAGCAACGCATTACAATACATATAATTATATCAACAGCGAGACGGTGATGCCATTTATTTATAGTCGAAACCGTTTTGAGATGCGCATTAATTACAAGACTAAAATTTTGGTCCTGATTGATTTCGAATCCGATACGGCTTGTGTTAATGTTTGTTATTAATTTCATACTTTCATGTTTTATTCCATAGTGTGTGGTGGTTAATATTCAAAAGGCCACACAATCGAATAGCAGTGTGAAGGTGGCGTGGGATTCTAGCGAAAAAAGCGCGTTGAATTATGAATGGCGGCCGACGTGTTCCACTTTGATCGGATTTTTTATTTCCTCTTCGCTCTTTCTTCGAGCGCATGCGAGGGCTCTTGTTTCGACGCGGCGGCAACTTGCGCGCACGTCGCAAACCATCAAAAGGAGATTTTCATGTTGGGATCAAAACATTTTTATGAGATTTATGTGCTTTTCGGCGCGCCGCTTTACGCACCTATCTGCCTCGTGCTATTAGGAGCAAATTCAATAAGTATCGAACCTTTTGGCCTCAGATCGTAGGGTTTCGCCAACCCACCGTGGTGTGCCTTGCCTCTCGTAAGTGTAATCTCGAAACGATATATCGTAACAAATTCAATAAAGCGACTTTAATAATCAATTGTTGTTAGAGTCAAGAAGCGAGCGGGCGATAAAAGCCTTTTGAAATCCAGATAACATGCCATAACTTAAAATTCTCGCACGAGGATTCGGATTTTCACACAAAAAGATACAAATAATTCAAACAAATTGTTCTATTCTATTAGGTATGATTTATAATTTAGAAACATAATTATTTTTGTGAATTTGGTGCTTTACGCGCGAGTTGTTGATAATATCATGGTCAACTAAGCACATTTCAACATTCTACAACTTCCATTACTTCTGCGAACGTAATCGTCCATCCAAACGTGTGTCGTTTGTGCTGCTGACGTGTCGTCGCGCAAAACGACAACACGCGTCTACGTTTCTATTTATTTACTGCTTCTAGTTCTCCCATTGTTTTTTACAACTCAGGCAGCATTCAAAACAGGAAATTACAAGTGTCACGACAGAAAGAAAAATCTTAAAGTGTGAGCATCGTCAATAAATTGCCCATGCGTCATGTGCACGTCTATCGATTGCTTTGCAGTTCAACGGCTGACGCATACAAAGAAAAGAAAAACACATAACTGAAAGGTATGTACACATATTATGTATGCATAAGCAATAAAATGCAACTTCGCTGCTAATTTCGGAAATACATAAATATCCGCAGATATTTATGTTTATTTTATGTTTGCCGATAGTAATTGCTTGTAGTGTTAAAGAAAATTGCTAGTTTTAGTGCAGGCAATTTTTCCTTTCCGCCTCATACCAAATTGAATACGTCGGCAGTTTAGATTGCTTGCCATTCAGGTGGTAGGCAGACAGTCAGCGCTATAGTTGGCACTTCAGCCAGTAACCCGGCGCCTCCACCACCCCAACAGCGCGTATGTGCAGGGAGGCTCGACGATGTATAATGTGCGCAGACGACGAATTTCTATTATAGTCGTCGTTAGATCTAATCGATATTTATGTATATTCCAACAGGACAGAAATGTATTTTTTAGTGCCTGCGTCGCCGTAAAGTTGCAGTCTACCTTCGTCCATCATACGAACACACTGGCAATTTATAGTTATCGTTGTAGCTTAGTTAAGGACAACGATAAGATAGAAAGCAAACAGGATTATGCTCACGACTGCAGTATAAACTCGTGAACGGCGGCAAAGTCCTGAATGGCAATTCACACGCAAGGACGACGGCCCCAAGGGCCCAAACGTTTTGTATTATAATAATGTCGCGGCGATTAGCTTTCATGTTAGATGTACTCCTATCGTGCGTACGCAACAATCGACAATGCGTTCAGTGCATTAATCTAAATTTTAATTGTGAATGCTCAGCGTTGAATAGAATTAGCGATATTCATATTATTCCGCCACCGATGCCGTACTCATATGCATATTTGCATTAATGCTATGTGCTTTTAATCTCCTTATTATAATGACCAGTTTGATTATTTTACACGATCCACAATCATAGAGGTAAATCGGAAATATTATTCCAGTGTTTAAAACGGATCAATTCAAACCCCGACATTTATGATATTGGTCATCAAAATATTCGAATAATAGAATAACAATGGTATTATTATTTTGGTCGCATTATAATCGCTAGTTAAAAATTCCGTCGCATTCTTATCAAATGCAGCAGGTCTTAATTTGCCATAATGTCCTTCGTCCATGCACATGCATGCACCGCAATAAAAATCTCGTTCGTGCAGCATGCACATATCGAATCAAAGGAAATTTAACGAGATAAAGGAGAATATTTCAATAGCGACCGACCGTAAACATGTAAATAAATGAATACGCGCTGCCGAGTTCAGTTAGCCGCCGAAGCTTTTAGCGACGCGCGTGGAAATATTGCGTACGGCAAAGATTTTATGAGCGAGCGAACCGGCGACGAGGCAAAAGTGAAAAATACGAAAATAAAAAGCGAGCAATATTTGTCTTGGTGACAATTTATTTTATTTTTTTCGCGCGCGCGCACACGCTCGGAATTTATTTATTTCAACTAGAACGAGGCAAGAGGGAAATGGAATTAGACAAAAAAAATTGTACGCACATGACTTATAAAAGTCAGCATTCAACAAAAAGCAAAATATATTCAAATGAATGAATAACTTTTTTGAAAATGTTAGGTTTTACGTGAAACTATCCACAATCAAATTTTTAATTTCCTGCGTAGATAAATAACTACTGTTCTAAAAAAAATAAATTTAAATTTACGGCCAATTCTAATTTTATTTCTTACAGATCCTTTTTTACGTCATTCTGTTTATTTCATTTGTGGTGATCGCTCTGTGGCATTGAAGGTTACACCCCGAACAAAATACGCGAGTAAATTTATGCAAATGTGAAATATATAGAATGCTTCAGTTCGTTTCTTTGTGCGTGATCATTTACCACTATTATGGTCGGGATTATCACCAAGTCAAGTGTCAAGGGCGACTACAAACTTTTTATTTCGCAGTAAATCCCAAAGCGTCAGCGATAAATTAGCAGTGTCGTTCGCGGAATGCACTGAAAACGACACTTTGTATAAGACATAGTTGCGCCATAGACAATATATAGAAATGGCGTCGGCAAAGTTACACAACAAGCAAAACAATAATTCACTTTTATCACCTTAGCGAAATGGTTTCTTTTTAAGTGCCGTTTTGTGCGCGCGCGTCTGATATCAAAGCGTTGCTTCTGTTACTTTTGTATACATTTTTTTTTCAAATTGCCGCAATTTTCGGCGATAAACATACACGAACGCGTGCCCAATTTGGAAAATTGTATATCGCGAATAAATTTCGCCGATAAATGACCTTGTTTCGTGCGCAGAGTGAGCATACAAGCCGCACGCACCTCGCAATCTTGCGAGCATCGTTTTGGCTTTAGCTTTTGACAATCTTTGTTGAAAATGCATACGCTGTGTGTACACTGTACACGGATCACGTTAAGCCGGATATATAAGCGGAAAACTCTTGGGTTTAAACTTTTATTCTTTAAACTTCGCGAGGATTTATTCTTTTGTGCGCATATATGATTTAAATATCATTAAATTTCAATATTTTTAAGTTTACAAAGTTTTACTGCCGATTTTCTTCCATATTGCATCAAAATTGCAACAATTTTCATACAAAAAATAAAAATTATATTAAAAGGATTATATTTAGACGCAATTGCTGTGTAATAAAAATTGCACCCTTTTGTTGCCAAGCAGTTGGCAAATATAACAAATTGCAGCACAAGTCGAGTGCCGCACGCATGTGTTACACCACGCTGCCATCCGGGACACATCAGGAAAGAATGGAAATATCGAATAATAAAAGAACAACAGCGACGCACGTCCCTGCATGCGCACACGTAAGAAAAGCAAGAATTGAAGAATGAAAACATAAAGGAAAAGCGGTATGAATGAAAAAAGGATGTGTCAAAAGAATTTACGGTGCTTTTGATCCGAGCGAGCGAACACTTCCAGGGTTGCAAACGCGACGGACTACAATGCCAACGTGCTCAAAGTGGAAATGTATGAATAAAAAAAAATTCAATTCGTGTGCTGCTCGCGCGGCAGAAAGCTCGCTGCCGGCCGCCACGATTTTCCGGCGCGGTTCGCACAAGTTTGTGTGAGTGCGGGGGTGTGTACATACCCGCGTTTGTTATTGTGCGCACTTCGAATGGAATATTGAATAGCTCTCGCAATGGAATGTATCATAACACGCACCGCATACCAATGTAACACAACAAATAATTACATTCGCGTGCAAAACGCGCTGCTCATTGCCTATCGACTGCGTTTGTTTACGGCCGCGGTTATATGTGTTATATAAATATAACAGTCAATGACGATAAGCGTATTTTACATATATCTTGCGTCTACGAAAATTGCCCATCGTCTTATAATCAAAAATTTATAGAAGAGTAGTATGTTGAAATATATACTGTGAAAGTTGCTGAGCGGGAAATATTCATAAAGTTATAAAAAATTTAATCTTACAAAGAAAATATTTAAATTCATTAAAACTGTGCAATGAATTTTTCTTCGTTTCTTCTGCGACTGTGAAATAACTTTAATAAACTAAGACGTTTTCCAACTTCAACGTTTATATGCCCTGCTCTCCGTTTGTCTTTTTGTGTGGGCGTTGGTCTTTTTTTCTGCTTCTTGCGTTCC